TTCAGTACAAATCGGCAATTTCATACTTTAACCCCTATTATATATAAAATGCGAAAGTGTGCGATGTTGGTGGATCGGGTAATTTCATTGAATTGCTGACGTTTCGTATATGCTTATATATATATTTTTGTTTCAGGGCAGTGTTTCTTTTTTGTATTGGAATATCGGTTTTGTACTGCTTCTGTTTATACTGCGGATTACTAATATATGCTCGCTTCCACGACTGTGATCCATTGCAAACAAAGGTAAGAAAATTATGATCTCCTATGGATGTAATATAAAAAGTGTTAGCAGAATTTTAAACGACTAAAAAAGTGAATATCAATTCAATAAACATTTAATTAATACAGTGAATAGCGACATCTCTCGCCAGGACTGGTAGCTGTAAAGGTACTAACTGGGTGATAAATCTGTCATAGATTTCACATAGATGACGCTACGACTAAAAAAAGTTGTTGAAAGACCAAGTACAAAGACACGACGTAAGCACATAGAAAAATTCGTGAGGTCCGTTGGTTCGTTCCGTGGCTTAGTTGGTATAGCGTCTGGCACGGTATGCAAGAAGACGTCGGTTCGAATCCGACCGGATTGAAGGAATTTTTTTCTGAGTGTTTTTTCTGAGTGTTCGATCTTTGTATTAATAATTATAACAGACCAAAAAAGTTTTTGTACGTTCTCGTCGAAGTTCAGCGTACTTTTCTGAAATGATAATGTGGCACAATTAAGTAATTAGGTTTCCGCGACTGCTATTATTGGAAAATGAAAATGTTTTTTCGGATTTCAATCGCGTATATTTGTTTTTTCATACAAGTCAATGTTTCTCTTTACAAGTCCCATGACCACGGCTACCTGAAATAGTATGAATCATCAAACAGGTTGTCTAATGCAAACCACCTTATTCTGAACTATAAGTCACAAAACTAATTGATTCTAAAGTACCTTATTTTCAACCATAAATCTCATCCGATCTGAGAAAAAGAAATAATTTCATTTTTCAGTGGTATAGTCAATCATAACACCAATGGTACATAAGAACAAATTACTGTTTGATGCTCATATAATATTATTAATATTTTAGCGGAAAACATTAAAGATAACAATCTGAGATAGTTTTATTATAAAAGAGAGCTTTTTTGCAGCTTGCGAAAGCAAAGGATCAACTTTTACCACTTCTCGTCATGGATGTTCTAGGCGATATACCGGGTTTGCCTGGAGTCTTTGTTGCTGGTATATTTAGTGCAGCTCTTAGGTACGCAAAACCATTCTTGTTAAATTATCCCACGTATCGAAGTAAGGCTTTCGACGGATACTAATAATATAAATGTTCATTCCAGTTCCTTATCAACAAGTTTGAATTCAATGTCAGCGGTTGTACTAGAAGATTATTATAAGCCATTTTTCAAGAAGAACCTATCTGAAAGGCAAACTAATTGGTTACTAAGGAGCGTTGTTGTGTTGTTGGGTGCCCTATGTTTGGGTTTGTAACCTTATAAATACATATTTTCTTATGGAATGTTTGTTCTAAGATTGTATTGGTTTTCAGGCCTAGTGTTCGTTGTAGAGAAAATGGGAACAATTTTGCAACTAACGATGACTTTAGAAGCAATGACGATGGGTCCTCAACTTGGTGTATTTACTATGGGGATCTTGATGCCTTGGGTGGATGCTACGGTAAATGTTTCAGTGACAAGATTGCACATTTAACCATATGCGATGGAAGCTGGAACTATTGAAAATAAATTATTAAACATACTTTAGGCTGTTGTAAAACAAATTTCAAATTTATGAACACTTTAGAAGGTGCTAAGACAGTTTACTAAAATTTCATTTTCAACTTTTCAATTCTAGGGAGCCCTTGTAGGTGGTATCAGTGGTCTTGCAGCTATGTCCTGGTGGTGTTTATCCGCTCAAATGGCCATAGCTCGTGGTCAGATCTCACATCCCCATAAGACACTTACCACTAGTGGTTGTCAGTATAGCTATAATGCAACGGAGGCTATCACAAGCATCCATGTACAAGTGTAAGTTTTGTTCAATTATCTGTAGTCCATTTTTTTTACCTATTTGCTTTTTCAAGATTCTTCAATAAAGAACAATGACCTTATGTCACAGCTTTTTCCTCATTATCATTTTTTTTATGTGACATCTTTTCTATTGCAGTATTTTCTTGAAGAATGTCATGCAGTTCACCGTTTCTGTGCTTTATATTTCGGCATTTTCACGAAGAATCATTTGGAGCACTGGAATTCAGTGGTTTTTCTTTCGGGCTTCTCTGCCTTCTCGTTGCTCGTTTATATTTCTCACTCGTAATCTCACCAGTCTCTATCTTCACCAGTGATGAAGTAAATCCCATTCTACGAGTATCCTACATGTGGTACACACTGGCTGGGGCATTAGTGACATTATGCGTCGGCGCAGCAGTGTCTCGCATTAATAGAGTACGTGGCAAGGCACATGTACCGCCCGCGCCGAGGTTGCTAGCTCCTCAATTGAGAAGGTTCTACAAGGAGCCACCACATCCGTCTGATGAACCTTATATTAGAGCTTATGGAAATAATAAGGTAGATAATGCAAAAGCTTGGTATTGTGCAATGATGTTGAATTGAACTTTTACGGAAATACATGACGATTTGTTTTTGCTTACAGGAAGCCTGCGACTTAAATTCTACCTCATTGAACTTGAAAATGATCGATGAATGTGATGAGATTAGCTGAGACGAGCTTGTTAACGCGATACATTACGAATTTCTTTATTTATATTTATTAAAAGAATTATTTCTGTACTATTTTACTTTTAATGTTTTCTACTTTTAAAATAGAACATTGATGTATTTACTTATAAAATTACTAAGTTTAGTGTCATGGTTTCAGAAAAAAGTGTATGTTATTAGTTACACTTAAGCAGACATAAGTTGTTAACTTTGGCACTCCAAACTATTATGCGACATGTCGGTGCTGCTATACACCTACACGCTGACCATCACAATCCTATATTACGACCTATTTTAAATCCACGACGGAAGGCTTCAATAAAGTGGATGCAAAAATAGCCTCATGGTTCAGGGAATTTACGACCGCAATTGGAAGATTACTTTAAGATTATAAGATATTCCAGACACTCCGGATATCAGTGTACTGAGAGTCAGTCCTAGGCCCGATATTGTCCTATACGGTCGTCAAATAGGTTAGCAAAAATGTCGGATATCGATGTTGAGGAAGTCCGAAAGTCTTATCAACATTTCTCTTTAATAGATTATTCAGTATTCGTGTTTATGTTAGTAATATGTGGCCTCGTAGGCGTTTATTTTGGTCTGGTAAAGAAACAGACCTCAACGCAAGATTATCTGATGGGTGGTAGAAATATGAAATTGATTCCTGTTTGCTTTTCCTTAGTAGCCAGGTAAGTATGTTAATTGGTATTTAAAGTGTTTTTAGCTAATTATTATATGTTTAAAGTATAGTTTAACGTCTATGTCTTAGTTTTATTTCAGGAATATCTCTGCTAGGCATTCCTACAGAATTTTACGTGTACGGAACTCCGCACGGATTTCATATTATTGGAGCCTCAGTGATGTCTTTAATAATTTGCTACACGTTCATACCTGTGTTATATGACTTGAAACTTACGTCTGCTTATGAGGTAAGTAGTATGTTATTTAAATGATGTCAGATCACTACCATTTCGTGTCTTTGTCTCTGTATACTTAGTTTTTTTTATTATTTTGCAGTATTTGGAGATCCGCTACGATAAACGATTAAGGGTTTTTGGATCAGTTTTATTTTCTGTTTATTTGGTATGTATTCTTACAACATGACAAACTTAAATAAATTAGTAAAATAATAAATGTACTGAATTGTTTTAGATGGCGTGGCTTCCTATTGTAATATATGTACCAGCTTTAGCTTTCAATCAAGGTACTCAATTAAATTAAGATATTGTTGTATTGTTGCGCTATTTACTTATTTATATTTTGGTTGTTTGGTTTCAGTTACTGGAGTAAATATTCACATCATAACGCCTATTGTTTGTATTGTTTGCATATTTTACACTTCCCTGGTAAGTCACAACGGAAAAATCTACCTAATTAAGTGAAAGCTGGAGACTAAACAGTACAGTAGCAATGCAAAATATTCTAATTTTAGGGTGGTTTAAAGGCAGTGGTGTGGACTGACGTGATTCAGACTGTAATAATGATTGGAGCCATGATCTTGGTCATTGTTAAAGGAACAATTCGCGTTGGTGGTATTCAAGAGGTCATCAGGAGAAATTGGGAAACTGATAGGATTCAACTTCCGACGTAAATTAAAAAAAAACATTTTTTACATTTTGCTTTTGGCTTTACCTTTAATGGGACAAGTCCCACGTGCCATCAATCCTATGTTGTCAAGACAACTTATGTCTCAGCGCGCAGTGACAGTGCCCCTCAGATATTTGCGATTTAAAGCTCTGAGTGGCACTGCAACTGTTATGGACAGGCGTGTAGCTTACCAACAGGCGCACTGCTTGTTCGTTCCGTCACTTAATATTATAAAAAAAGTTTTATTTATATGGACAACGACTTGTGGTTGGTTTTTATTCAAAGCGTTTCTTATTTCCACAGTTTGAGGTTCGATCTCACTGAAAGACATTCAATTTGGTCGGTTTCAATTGGTGCAACTTTTTATTGGATTGGTAATATTGCGGTGAATCAATCAATGATGCAGAGGTTTCTAGCATTACCTGAGCTGAAGCAATCAAAAAGGTAGCTGTAAAATTCTCTCTCTCTGATTCTCTCTCTCTGTTCCTACACTTGGGCATACTTAAATCCCTGATAATAATTTAAGCTGCAGACGTAAGGATTTGATAGTTCTGGCTGTATATAGACGATCCTTTTTATATATGACTGTTGTGGTCATAATATCATTGCTTGTCGTTTTCTCTATAGCATATTGAAATTTTCAGAGCGGTTTGGGGCTTTCTCAGCGGAGTTATATTGATCATCATTATATGTGGCTATAGTGGGCTACTAGCATTCGCCAAATATTATGATTGTGACCCGCTTGATTCCAAATTGGCTTTAGCAAAGGACCAGATATTGCCACTGTTAGTGATGGATCTTTTGACAGAATGGAAAGGTATGCCTGGGATCTTTGTAGCTGGAGTTTTTAGCGCTGCTCTCAGGTAATTGTTGAGTTATAGCTTCGTATAAGAAAATGTAATTAAAAGTAATTAATAGTCCTCTGTTTCGTGTAGATACAATAACATTCATAGCCCCGCATTTGGAAAACGCGGGTGCCATGGACACACGCATACATGTAATTTGTGGCTGACAAATTACACTCAAACTCACGGGAGGATTATATGTAGGCCATACAAATATTTCTCTCGGCCCAGGAATCCAACCCGGGATCTTTGCGTGGCAGATCAGCATGCTAACCTTTCAGCACAGAGACAGGCAGTTTAAATAAAGATACGACTTTACTTTTAGACAAACCTTTTCAATCTTTTCTTGTTGTGCTGCATAAATTTTTTTTTTAAATTTCTTTTTTGATTCCAGTTCTCTTTCAACTGGCTTGAATTCAATGGCAGCTGTGGTACTTGAAGATTTTTGGAAGCCATTTTTTAAAGAGCTCAATCATAGACAGACGCAAATATTGATTCGTGCTGTAGTAGTCATACTTGGATGCGTTTGTTTAGGTAAGTTTGACTACTTTTACGAAACCTTCTCAATATTAAGAAATAGCCGTAATATAATTGTTTCATGTTGCCGATTGACAATTTTGTATGGTCATGGCCATCACGACAGAAATATTTCGTCGACTTATTGCAAGAAGTCACCAACTGCCATACAAATTATATGGCAATTAATGACTTTTTGCAATAAGTCGACAATTTTACTTAATTAAACTTCTATAATATCTTTTCGTTTTTATCTGTCTTAGTTTTACGTTATTCGGTTTTTGCACTTGTTACACAGGTTTAGTGTTCATCGTAGAAATGCTAGGTTCGGTACTGCAACTTACTATGAGCCTGTCTTCAGCATCTTTAGGGCCACTCGTAGCAGTTTTTCTTATGGGATTGTTCTTGCCATTTATTGATGCAACAGTGAGTGTAAATATATTTCTTTATGAGGTAAAGAGCCTTGAGCACCAAATAGTAATATTTACTACAGATCGTTTTAAATAGAATGAGGCTTTTAATCAAGTATTTACAATCAATCTTAAGATCAAATAAAATATGTAATACAAAAAACAAATGACAATAGAACTTAATATCTTTTACCATTGTATGATTTTTAACATTCAAAAGATATGTTTGTAAAAACATCTAAATTCCAAAATATGGACTTAAGGTTATTTACCTCTCATCTACAGATGTTTAAAAATAAATGGAAAATAATTATTTAGTTTTTTTATACAAGTGGCAGGACGAACAAGTTATGCGCCTGATGGTAAGCTTCACGCCTGTTCATAACAGTTACAGTGCCACTCAGAGCTTTAAATCGCAAAGTTCTGAGGGTCACTACCACTGCGTTCGTCACCCTGAGACATAAGTTGACAAGTCCCATGTGCCTGTAATTTCACCAGCACCCTTACCCTTCAAAACCGAAACACAGTAATGCTCACATTACTGCTTGGCTGCAGAAATACGTAACGTGGCAGTACTTCCTTGGCGAACTCTTTCACAAGGAGCTCTACTGCTGCTATAAATAATATATCACCATAATGAAGACTAGAGTCCAGATGTCACTTCTTATGAACAGTTGATGTAGGTTTCCCCAAGGTGCAGTCTCGAGCCCAATTTTATATATTAACTTCTAGGCAGTCTAGCAAGGTAAGTGTAAAACCACTGTAAAACTATTTCAGAGCGCTTTAAGTGGCGGTATTGTCGGTTTAATTTGCTCATGGTGGATTGCAGCGCAATCACAGTTAGCGCAAGCTCAAGGTCATCTCACTTACCAGGAGAAACCGCGGTTCCTCCACAATTGTACCTATTCATACTCGCCGCCGTTGAGTGAGGAACATCATACGGACAAGTGAGTTACTCGCCTACGTATCACGTCTTCGATAATGTGTGTGTTGCTATTTAGGTCACTTTTCAATGAAACGTTTTACATCTATATAACACATCCTTGAGGATTGGCCGCGTTGTAATCTTTAAGTGGACGCTTATGTACCTACTACCATTAATATCATCAATGGAAAGGTAAAGATATAATACAGGGTACCTAAAATGAACGAATTTTTAGTTAAAATTGGTTATAAACAAAAATACCACGAGGAAATGTGCACCATTATCTGTTTAGGATTCTGCATAGGATTAATTTTTTCAAATAAACCAATGTAGCGTCTTTGGTACGTACATTAAACAAGTATTTAAATTAATAACTTTTATAACTATAGTGAATTAAATAAAAAAAACCGACCTTACTGCTCTGGCCGCACAGAGGCGGCCGCGGGAGCGTTCCGGGCGCGGGAATTTTTGTAATATACAGTCAAGAGCACGTCAAGCTTGACACTTTGTACTTTGGACCGTTCTTGTCGTAAGCGAGAACGCGACATGCTCTTGACCCTGTACGAGTTCATATCTGCAGTCCGCTAACTAAAACGCGGCTAAGTGACAAAATATTTTTTTGAGGTATCATACAATACCATAACCTAGTTTCAGAATATTGAAATTGTTCAATGATATTTTAGCTATGAATCATTAGGTAAATTCCGATAAGTCGTATACGTTAACTCATTTTAACTGTTTTTAAAAGAGAATTTTGTGCTCTATTGTTTGCTATTTAAAACGGATATTTGACCATTTGTCACTTAATCGCGTTATAGTTAGTGGACGGCAGATATGAACCCTGGCACACTGAAATGAGCATAAAAGTTTGCATTTCCGCTCTCGCTATGTTTGATGTATCTATTTGCCAAGTTTTATTGAAATCACAGAAAGTAGATGAAATCCAATAAACCGAATTCGTCACCTAATTTGCCACCGTTAGAGGTGATACATTTTCTTCAAATTTGAATTGGATCACTATTGAGGTACCCTGTTTTCAACAAAAAAAGAATCATCGAAACCGGTTCACAAATGTCGGAGTAATCGCATAAAATGTACACAAACAGTCCTCCTTCTTTGAAGTCGGTTAAAAATGGGGTGGTTGATGACTTTACTACCATCTCAGTCAGCCGTTAGCCGGTAGAGGGCCCTAAATGTTAGTTTGTTTGAAAAAAGCCAAAATATTCGAAAAAATAGCTTCATTTTGACAATCGTGAAAAGTTAAGAACTTGAAACGTTATGTATGACTAATTTTCGCTCAGTGGCTGCTTAGACTTTTTATTTTTCCGCTGACTAATTATATACAACTTTTACCATTTTATCATGGTATAGCCGTCTCACCTATTGTAATTCTAATAAACTGCTGGCAATATAGGTATATTTTAAGAGGAATATAATTGTAAATAACAAATATTTCATGTATTACTGTTTGTTGTCACAAATAATTTAAAAAAACTTTATATAATAAAAATAATTTCGTTTTACAGGGAAGTGTTCTACCTTTATCGACTTTCCTATCTGTGGTTCACTGCGTTTGGTTGTACCGTTTGTGTCATAATGGCCTGTATTGTCAGTTTGAGGAAAGCCCCAAAATCACATGGCGATCTGAGATTGTTCGTGCCAATTATTAGGAATTTTATGGCCAAAAAACGACGAGTAAGTTTTCGTTTTTCTTCAATTGTAAACTCTAAAACAGAGCTTTCAATACTTTATTCCCTCGTAGTACACGTACCAATTTTTTTTCTGACCTGCTGACATTCTAATATGGATTTTTTTTACAAATTCAACAGTATCAAAAGTGTTTTTCACAGCTGACATAATGCTACTTACTTTTATTAGTTTAACTATATAAAAAAAAAGATTCATGGCAACAATTTTACAATTACCGCGGTCCCCTCACTAGGCAAGCCTGTATCGTGTGGTCCTAAACAACCGATTTACATATAATATTGGGCCTCTAAAATGAACAAAATGGACTTAAAATATTTAAACCTAAGCCATATTGTGTTGGCACAGTATTGATATATATTTACATGCATATATGTAAAAGTAGTAAGTAATAACTATATATAGTATTTATGTGGTCTGTGATATATACCAATAGTATAGTGAGAAACTTTATAAAAAAAATTTTTTTACTTGCGAAAGTTTTTAAAACTATGTTACTAACATATATCCAAAAAATAAATAATATATTTGTTTCAGGTAAAGCAAATAAATTTGGAGGATAGGTACAGTTAGTGGTTTGTAAAGTATAGAAGCATACACTTGTTTAATAAAAAAATATGTAATTTGTGTAATTATTAATAGAAAAATCGAGATTGAACACTTAAAAAAGAATCCTTGGATCCGGCTGGATTGGAACCACATGACATTCAATATACTTAAAAATTACAAAAAAATATGTATTTGTAGATTTTCAATTTTTAGAAGGGATAACGTCTTTCTGTGTTAACTCTGAAAATGCCAGACCTGAAAAAGATAAAAAAAAATTATGTGATTATTATGAACGTATTGTATAGTATAAAACACTTCACACAATCATAAGGGACCCACCATACTTAACGGACGGGAAATCGCACAAGGCCCTGTGGCAGTCGTTTTCGCTCTTATTATACGGACATAATGCGTTTTCAACCAGCTCACGCCAATTCCGTAAGTGTGGAGAATCCCTAATGCGCATTATTAGTACAAAAACTTGTAAGTGTCAAAAACATCATTATTTCACAATCAAGGAACAGTATTAGGTATATTGTGTTATAAGTTCCTTATCCAAAATGCTTAGTGATGAAAGAGACTGTTTTCAGGCATATTAAAAAGACTCGACACATTTTGCAGGACTCGACTCCATTTTACAGGACTCTACTCTAAAATTAAGACTGGACGTTTAAGTTTTTATTAACAAGACTCTAAATAAACCTTTTAAGATTTTCAATTTCTGCGGTTAAAAGATTTCCCCTCACAAGTGTTCAGTTTTATTCTCATGACTCAAGACTAAAGGGTTAAAAGACTAGTCTAGTCGTGAGGTGTTTGATGGAGATTTTTTAATAGGCTTTAAATTTAAAGACTCTGTGATCGCTAAAATGCTACACTTACCGTGTTTTCAACAAATCACTATTTCCCATCGGATTCAATTCTCCATTGCACCTGTTCCTCGTAGCGTCTCTCAGTGAGTCACATTCGTTGGCAAGAAGATGATTGTGCCTTATACTCGATGCCATGTAATCATAAGCGAGGCTGTGCGAGCATGAATTTAGTATACAACCAGGCATGCTTGAGCCGCCGTTTGGATAGAAGTCAGCATCTCCGCATGGATCACTGAAACCGTACATGGCCGTGTTCGTGTGCATTACTTCGACATACTGGCCGTCAGTTTCTACAATGCGGTCTCTATCTCTACCCCATAGAGGGCCAGCGGGATCCAAAGCTAAGAAAATGGAAATTATTATAATTATTAATACCGACGTCTTCCAGCAAACCACGCCAGACGCTATGCCAACTAAGCCACGGAACGAACCAGCGGATCTCACGAAATTTTTCTATGTGCTTGTTGTCGGATCTTTGTATTAGGTTTTCAACGACTTTTTAGCCGTAGCGCCATCTATGAGAAATCTATGAAAGTATTTCGTCACCCAGTTAGGTAACTTTACAGCTACCAGCCCTGCCTAGAAAAGTCGCTATTAACCGTAATGAAACTTGTATTTAATTGATATTCAATTCTTTTTTGTGCAATTACCCCACTAGATTGTTATAATTTTTTCTAAGTGTTCGATTTCGTATTAATAATTATAACAATCTAGTAGATTAATTTCACAAAAAATAATTGAATATAAATTCAATACAAGTTGCTAATCGTCTACCTTTACACACACGCTTAACTTTAAGCAGCGATACAAACACGATTCAAACGCGCAACTGCATCGATACAAATGCGCGATTGCATCGCTACACTTGCGATTATAAGGCGATTGCTTCGCAATCGCGATTTGTCTCGATGCAGCCCGCGTTTTCATCGATCCTATCGCCTACATCGCAAGTGTCGCGATGCAATCGCGCGTTACACGAACGCGCGTTTGAATCGCTGCTAAAAATTGCAGTGTGCAAACCACTCTTAGTTATAAGTTTGAAGCTTTTGTCAGTGTATCTGTATGCCTGTACAGAACCGAGCTCTTTTTTATTTGAAGGCCCTATTTCACTGGGAGCATTCTTAGCATTGTACGGCATTGTTCTTCCCCGGACGAATTAATGTAGGTATCTCAGTCATAAAATGAATATTTATTTTATTTCCACTTCTCCGATCGACTTGAAATTTGGTAAACTATGGAAATCCGATGACATTACAATAATATGGTAACCTTGATCTGATGCTGTAACTAGGATATAGATTACCCAACTCCTCAACTGTTTAGATCAGAACTATCGCATTTGGGCGCATTAAATTGGTCTCAACGAGGTGTTAGTTCAGATGGTGTATGACTAATAAAGATATGTACGGAAAAAAACTTATGTACGGATGGAGAATTTAGGCGATTACCATACTGCTCCTCACCACGCAACGGTTTGCGGAGCTGCGCTTTTAACGTTATACCGAAGTATCTCAGTCAGTGTTGGGCAAAATTTTATTGTTCTGGCAATTAAAGATTGACAATTAATAAATTGGGGGTGGGTTGGAGGGGTG